TGGCAGGATTTCTCAGAGCTTTATGGCTGGAACATATTCCGTGGTGTATCTGTACAGCAGTTTCTTCATCCCTGCAGCTGTGTGTGGACGGGTAGGTTGGTTCTGTACCTTGGCCACAATTACAAGTGCCTCAGTAACCATGGAAGGCAGCTAGCTCTCTTCAGCCCAGAGATTTCAACTGCTTTACATGTGGAACCAGTGGTGGGGCTGCAAGCTGACATGGTAGTTGTACTGTGAAGTTTTTCAGGAACCTCCTGCTGTTTCTCATAGTGTGTATACTAGTTTACATCTCCACCAATAGTGTTGAAGAGGTTACCTTTCTGTAAGTCTACACTGGCTGGCACCTTCAAAAATTAGTGTTTTGTTATTGGTAGTATTTATAGTGAGTGGAAGGAGACGGAATGTTAGCGTGGCTTTCATGGACATTTTTGTGAGTATTCGTGATGTGGAGAAAGTCATTTGAGAAATCCCCACGTTGCTTTCCATGGTGTCTGAACTGGTTTGCATTTCCACCAGCAGCAGAGCAGCATCCCTCTTCTCTGCCTCGCCTGCATTCGTTCTTGCGGACCGTGTCCTAATCGTCATTCTGGCCAGTGTGCAGTACTATCTCGTGGGCCTTTTGCTTTGCCTTTTTCTGTTGATGACTGAGGTAGAGAAATGTTGTCATGTCTGTTGGTTGCTGTAAGCCTTCTTTTGAGGTGCATGATTTCCTGCCTCTTGCCCTTTCTTTATTGAGTTTTTATTTTCCTGATTGATTTAACATCTTTAAGGTAGATCCTGGATATTAGCCTTCATCAGATGCATGCGTGGGAACATTTTCTCCCGTTGTGCAGGCTGTCTGTTCACTCTGTTGGTCATTTCTTCTGTGCAGCAGCTCTTCTGTGTATTAGGTGCCACTGGGCAATAATTGTTTTAGTTGCGCTTGCTTTTGGAGACTGAGACACATCCATGCTGTGCCAAATCCTCTGTCAGGAAGGGTGTTTCTAGGTGTTTTTTTTTTGCAGGCTTTTCATATGTGAGGTCTTGCATTTACATCTTTCATTCATCTTGAGTTTATGTCTGTACACCGTAAGACACGGGGCCCACTGTTTTTCTTCTGCAGCTGGCTAGTCATGCCAGCGCTATCTATTGAAAGGAGGGAGTCCTTTCTCGAAAGCTTATTTTTGTGGATTTTGTTGAAGATCAGATGGTGTTAGGGGTGAGGGTTTACATCTGGGTCCTCTAATCTGTTCCACTGCTCTGTGTGGAATGGGGTCCCTAGCTTTTCAATGAAATTTAACATCGGGAAGTGTGACACAACTGAGGTAGTTTGGATTTCTCAGGATTGCTTTGGAAGTTCAGTGTGTTTTGTGGTCCTCATGAATGTTAGCATTGTGTATTTAAATTGTTTTTTAAAACGTTGGTCATATAGTAAAGGTATACAATGCAGGGAGTTAGAATGGGGCATTTTGATTAATGCAGACACAGAGGAATGATAAAATCAGGATATTTAGAGGCTCTATTATCAGAAACAGTTAATTTATTTGCTGTGAAAACATTTGGAATCTCCCAGATTTTGTGAAAAGGGTGTGATGTTGTGTTAGCCTCTGGTCACTTGACTGTGGAACAGCCAGGAACAATTCATTCCTCTCATCTAAGTGTAACTTTGTGTCTATTTCTGACCTCTGCCCATCACCCTTCTTCCTTCCAACCTTTAGTAACTATTACTGTGCTTTCTAGACCTGTGCAGTGAAGCCTTTTATTTTGGATCCTACATTGGTTGTTCTTTTTCTGCCTGTCTTAGGCCATATACCATGATGTCCTCCAGGTTCAACAGTGTGGCTCCAAATGATGAAATTTCATTCTGGTTTTCTGGTTGAAGACGATTCTATTTGTGTACATCCACCAAGTATCCCTTCATCTGCGGATGGGCAGGTAAGTCTATTCTTTGTCTTGGCAATGGTGAATAGTGCTGCAGTCCACATAGGATGGCAGACGCCTCTTGCATGGACTGATTTCTTTTGCCCTGAGAGTATACTTAGTAGTACACTTGTTAGATGAAGTGGTAGATATAGGTTAAACTTTTGGAGGAACCTCCCACTGGTTTCTGTAGTTTGTGTACTATTAACGTTCTTACCCAGTGAGTTCCTCTGTGGAAATTTACACCAGCATTTGTGTCTCTTTTAATGTATTTTATTGTTTTGATAATATCCATATGAATTATAGTGAGATGATGTGTGTTGTTCTGATTTACATCGTTCTCATGATTTGTGATGTTATCTAAGTTTTTAAAACTTGTTTGCAATGTTACGTCTTCTTTGCAGAAATGTCTATTTAGGTTCTTTGGCCCCATTTTGTTTAGTTATTAGTTTCTCTTTTGTGTTTTTGCTAGTAAGTAGTGTTTGTTGCTTAGACATTTTGAAGACAACCTTTAATCAGATGTAGGTTTGCCGAAACCTTTCTTGTAAACTTCAAGATAATTTTTTATTTTATTTATGGATTTTTAAAAAATCTGCTTGGGCACAAACTCTTCTAACGTATGATGCAGTCCCATATGTGTTTGTTTTCTTGTTGTCCTTTGATGTAGGTGACTGATGAGGAAAAACAGAATCCTGACCAAAGTAGTCCATCACCTATGAGTTTTTCCCCCTGTATTTTGTATTTTGTTTTGACATACTGTGAGCACAGATCCCCATTGACCTAAATGTACCCACACCATATGTCTTCTCATTGGAAGAGTTTGATGCATTCAACTTTTGTTTATGAGTCTGTAATTCATTTTGAGTTAAACCTTGGTCTTTTTACACAATAGGGGTTCTGTTTTACTTACGTAGGGTTATCCAGTTTTCAAATCCATTTACTAAACAGATTTCCCCTTCTTCATTGTGTCTTTCGGTGTTCTTTTACAGAATGTGTAATTTGGGTTTGTGATTGAGCTCCCTCATTCTGTCTGTTGGTCTGGGTTTTTCGGTTAGTGCCAGTCATCTATTGTTTAGATAACTGGCTTTTCAATATAATTTCAAATGGAGGACAGTGATGCATTCCATGTACTTTGTATTTTCAGGGTTGCTTTGAAATTCAAGGTGTTTCATGGTTCCATGTAAATTTTATCATCATTGGTATCCTTTTTTTTTTTTTTTAAAGAAAAAGATTACCATAGAGTATATGTATATAACTAGAAGATACAGGGGCCATTTTGATATGGGTACACCTAGCATATTGATTAAATCACAATATTTAGCATCTATGAAGTCCTCTAGTCCTCTAGGTGTTATTTGTCTGTGGAGTTGATACTCAGAATCCTTTCCAGCTATTTGGAAAATTCACTACAATATTAACCCTGGTCACCCTGCTATAGAAGAGAAGGGCAGGACTGATCTGTTTTCTAAGTGTAACTTTGTACCCATTACCAATCCCTGCCTAGGGCCCCCTTCCCCACAGCCTCTGGTAACCACTGTTGAACTTTCTACCTCTGTGAGGTCAAGTATTTTAGATTCGACATGCATGAGATCATGCAGTATATGCCTTTCTCTGCCTGGCTTATTTCATTTAACATAGTGTTCCTAAGGTTTTTCCATGTGGCTGCAAGTGACGAGATTTCACCCATTTCTATGATTGAAGAATATTCTACTCTGGATGTATATTGCAGTTTCCTCGTCCCTTCATCAATGGATGAACAGGTAGGTGCATTTCCTATCTTGGCTATCGTGAGTACTGCAGTACGGAGGGCAAGGCAGGTATCTCTTTCACATAGGAATGGAATGATGGCTAGATGAAATGGTGTTTTTACTTTGTTTGAGGCACTTCCAGCTGTTTTTCCTAGTGTGTGTAGACATTGACATTCCCACCAATAGTGTATGAGAAGAGTTTCCCCTTCTGAAAGTCTATACTAGTTGTTTCCATTGAACACTTTTATTTCTGTTTTAGGGAACATTCATTCTATGTGGATGGAAGCTGTATCTCAGTGCGGTTTTCCTTGACGTTCTTGTGAGGATTAGCACTTTTGAGAAACTTTTCTTTTCCCTGTGA